CGAGCGCTATGCGACAATACGTGGCACACCGTCGCCGTTAAAGTCTCCCGCGGGAGCTTATCGCTTTCGCTGGACGCTGGACCCGAGTTGAAAGGGGTCGCGACCGGCACGTTGATCGATGACGTCACAGATGCCCCGTCAGTTGTCACTCCGCTGTACATTGGAGGGTTACCTGGTAAGGGAAATATTAAACGAATTTCTGCACTTTGTTCCAGCTCGGAATTTTAAGATATGCAACTAACATTTTATATAAATATATAATATATCTTCTTTATCTTATATATCTTATTTAAGTTTTTATTGAATAACAGGATGTTTGACCACCACGATATTCAATTATTTTTTGTGAAATTACTCCACTACTTTGTTATAATTATTAGAGAAAGATCGAACACTTAGAAAAAAAAAATCACTTGAACCGGTTGGCAAATCGTGTCAGACGCTTCGCCAACTAAGCCAAGCAACTAACGGACCTCACAAATTTTTCAATGTCTTTGTTGCAGATCTTTGTTTTTAGTTTTTAACGACTTTTTTGACATAGCGCCATCTGTGAGAAGTCTACGAAAGTTTTTTCTTCACTCAGGGATTTATATTATATAACTTATTTTCACCTTTTTTCTTTTTTAAACATTTGATCTCTATTTTACAGAAGGCATAATGGAGTTGGGTGACAATGGGCGCGAGAACTTCAAAGGCTGCATTCGGGACGTGGTGGCGCTTGGCCGTAAACTTGAGTGGGCAAAAATGCAAACACTGCATAATGTATTGCTGGATTCGTGTCCTCTTGCATAAAGAAGGCTGTTACTATTATCCTGTGATTGGCTATAGTCACGGAAGGCGTCTCCGTGGCAATGATAAAATTGAGAATATGACAATGAACAGGGCAAGGTGATTTTTGGGTACTTATCGAACAGAAAGAAAATTGGAACATACTCTAATTTAAAGTACTGTTGAAGTGAGACAAATTGCACCCCTTAATTAAAAAAATAACGTACCGAATATTTGACTTTTGACTGTTGCCCAAATATGGCATAATTTCAGGGTTCGAAATAATAATTATCAATGATAATTATCATGACAATTATCACAATTAATCTCAATAAATATACCTTAATAAATCAATTGGAACAACAAAATGCTACCACTCGCAATGTCGTGGCCTATGTTTATATCAGAGACGTAAACAAATGTGTTAAATATCAATCTTAAATAAATCACAAACCAATTCTTTTTCCCAGAGATTTTTCTTCGCGTTTATTTAGTTTTCTCACTGTTTGTAATTTTAGTCAAAAATTGAAGAGAATACTAGAAATCAACGTAGATAATTATTAAATATATCATAATTATCAGACAATTATCGCAGTAAATATCAAAAAAAATATGTATCTTGATAATTTTAAAGCCTGTCTAATTCAATTTTATATGGAAAAGGATATATTAGATATTTCGTACGTTATTCCTTTTTTAATTTATTTTCGACTAGTTTCCTTGCTGAATTACGTCATTTTATTATTTAAACAGGCATATTCGTCAAGAAACTAGTGTTGAACTTCGGTCGGTCAGACGACGAGAGCGTTTAGTCGAAAGTCTTAAAAAACGCGGGGCGTTAAAATCCAAAATTAATACCAAGCTGCTCTTAGTCTATGTGGATTTATGTACAATAATTACCCGGTAATGTCCTTACCTTAAAAACCGACCTTTTTTAGGTCGGTTTTTTAGTATTGGAATTACGTCTTCTATTCTACGTCTACTATTCGTGGAATTACGTCTATTCGCCAAGTTTTATTGAAATCAGTTACTGGAAAGAGCGCGAAACCGGATTCATGCCCTAGTTTGCCACCCTCATGTGGAATATTTTCTTTAAATATAAATGGGACCAATACTGAGGTATCCTCGTCCCTACAAAAAAATACAAAATCTGTTCACAAATCGCGCAACAAAGATAAAAATAAACAGACGGATTGAGAACCTCCTTTTTTTCGAAGGCGATTAAGATATTAAAGCATTCATTCATTACAGTGTTCTCGTGTTATATTGAAATGCATTGTATTGAAATTGTCAAATGCATTACATATATATAGACTTTTTTATACCAACATCGGGGATTGGTATCTCGATTATGGGATCATGAAATAAAAATGAAGTGCAGAATAATTCTGAATTTGAAGCACTCATGTTCAAACAACAATAAACACATATTTGATTCTATAATCATTGGAGTGTATGACGACCCGCGCTTGGCAACGCGAATGCACCGCGAGATTAATGCGAATGTGTGCGTTCGTATAAGCCACCCTGTGACGTTTGTATGGAGTTGCCTTATTATTTACGAAACCATGCTTTTACGAAGTAGGTTCGAGTATTACCACATCGTGCCATCAAGTACATGTATTTATTGCCATTAACGTGAGACCTGCTTCCATTACTCTGCAATCGTTGTACTTCAATGAGGCTACATTTAGAGGCTATATTTTGTATGGAATTATTTAGACGTTGCTATTGACAACTTAACAAAGACTATGGTATGACTAGCTACTTAAAAGGAACATAACTATGCATTGACTTTGTAAGTCAACTATGCGTTACTTTCTCAAACACGTATCTTATAAAGAGTGATTATTCACGAGAGGGCAAAAGCTTCCATTTATTTTAAATTTCTTATCAAGGGTGGTAATTCGAATGCATTACTTTAAGAATAGGTAAAAGCTAATGTGTAAATATGATGTGAAATCAACCTGCAAAATTTGTATATACCCATTTTTTTCGTTTCAGTAACTTTGGACTTTAAGATAGGAGTTTGGGAAAGTAAGGCGACGATAAATCAAAAACAAGAAACGTGTGACGTCAGCATTCATATATTAGTATAACAACTCTGACGCACATCACTATTTTTGTAGTCACAACAACAACGGTGCAAAAAAACTTTAACGTAAACTATAGAATATCCCCTGGCCGTTTGCGGCTACAGCAAACTGTTTATTACTAAAGGCCCACAGCCAATCTTATTACTAAAGACCCGTGCGCACACGTCATACCCTGAACGTAGTGGCAGCTGATCACCGCAGGTGGTCGGGATATCAGCTTGTCACGTCTGACGTCTAAATCAATTCGTCGACAATTTCAAATTGTTTTGTTTGTTATAAACAGTGAACGGAATTGTGGGAGTTAATTTAGCTAAACTAAAGAAAACCGTGGACATTCCCTTCTTCAAAAGCCGGGACTTCTCGGAACTGATTGTATACAAATGAGCGTATTATTTATAGAAATTTGAGTACACTGGCGACAAATTACATTTCCTGCAAATTTTTGTCTAAAAAATAATATTCTATAGTATACTTACGTGTTTAAATACTTTAGCCATTTAAAAAATAAACATGAAACAAACTACATCTTGCAATGCTTAGAAAATAAACGGTAAGAAAAGAATTTTGTACGCATTGATGACGAATTGGGTATATCCATACTAAGAAAACATTCATACTTTAGGTAGATTAACGCCCTCAATGCCGATTACTGGTTGTATATAAAACATCTCTATTTGGGGCGATCGGCTGCCTGCTTCTCTCACTATGTTGTATCAATGTCGCATGTTGCAAAATTATGTTGGAAACAAAGATTGTATTAAAAAATGATCGACTATTCAAAAACTTAATAACTGTGTCCACATCTATGCTAAGTAGTCAAAAGCAAAAAAAATGTACATAGTAACGAGTACTTAAAACTTACAACCAGTATTCATACATAATAATGTGTACATATTTTATTTTTAAGTCAATCGTAGTTTTTAATGGATCTTCGTAACAAAATTTTAAAAATCACCACGGTATATTTGTCAAAATTGTACATCAAAGTTTTGTGTTGAAAATTTAATAATTTGTCCTTAAGCATAAATGAATGTAAATTGCATTTTTTAGGAAAAAAATTTAATGCTCGGTTCAAATCACAATTTCATGTTATAGTGGTAATAATACCTTGCGCCGAAAAATCATTTTCTCCAGAATTGTAACTTACGTTTATTGGTATTCTAATGGTGTCATCAAATTAGATGCTTGTAGAAACGCTGCAGTGGCGCGATCTGCAGTAATTTTTAGTGACTGCAAACGTGGCGCGCGCGTGTCACGGCAGTGGCACAGTAACTGCGATACTAAATATTGCAGGAGTGGCCAGCGCCACAGTAGTATCATTGCAGCGCTTACATAAGCGTCTGATTTGAAGACTCCTTAGACTCCATTGCGGCGTAATGGAAGCGTCAATTTCGCCTCGCTACGCGAGAAGGTGCGCGTGGTCGCTGAAGTGCTCAAGTATCGAGCTTTCTCGAACATGCGAGAGAATTCCGCGGAAGACGCGAGACGTGATTTTTGGTTTATACCTAGTTTGTACGTTACTCAAATAACCATAAAGTAGTTCATTACGCTATATACAATATCGTTACAAAAATTTGCTTCCATTCCGTTCCGCCGCAATATAATATGAGCTTTAAAACAGTGTAGTTGTATTACTTCTGATAGAAAAAAGTAGCTTGTGACTCGTTTAATGGCGGCACTTCACATGGATACTTGTATTCGCGGCCGTATATTGGTGGTCATATTTAGTCAGCGTTAACAACACCTGTAGGCAAAATTAAATTTGTAATTGCTTTTCAGTGGAAGACAATTTTATAAGCAACGGTGTTATAAAAACGAGACTCTATGGAACTGTTGTAAAATTAGAAGCGAAAAGTGAAGAGGATCCGTTACGCTACGATTCTTCAATATTTTGTATTTTAGTAGTTGATAAAAACCATTAATTTAAACAATGTCTCACTCTTTCAAGGTGGCCACATAATAAAAAAAACACACTTGTACCAAGCCAATTACGCAAAAACGTGAAGATATAGCGGTATAACCTTTGTTTTATATTTTGAGCGAGTTTGTACTTTACTATTTAAGTCCTGCACATTTGCCTACACTGTGTTAATGCTGACTAAATATGACCACCAATACAAATAAGTCCTATTGGTCATATCAGTATGACATGCAAATATGACCACCAATAAACGGCCGTATTTGCAATTGGGTGTTTTTTACAAACGGCAACACATCAGGCTACACATTGACGGATCTTGTTGAGGCGATATTCGAACAAAAGTGTGTAGCTGGTAACCTATCACAAAGTCGAAAATTTTTTTGTCCGAAATAACTTTTGTTCGAATTTTCATTACACCGAAAACCGAATTATAACGAAACAGTTGTTCTTTCAGAATATGTTGAATGTTTATCGCAAAGACACGATTAGGTTCAGTTAGGTTAGGTTAAGTCACGTTTAAAAGAAAAAATGTATTCCTCTCCAAATTACTTTCGAGGTTATGAAATTTCGACCAAACGTTATTTCTGGAAAATGTCATTTCGGACTATAGGTAACCGTATAGCTTGATGCACAGTTAACTGTACTTGGAAAAATATTAGACGTACAGACAAAAATGCAAAAACTGACAAATATTACCGTTTACAAATATGGAGCCATAGTGTGGACAGTCTACTTGCGTATTTGCCTATTTGGCTCCTTCGATATGCGTCGAGAAAACCACCAGCGCGAATTTGGTGTTTGCTGTATTTGTCGAATAGGCTAACGAGGCAAATACTTTGTCACACATGCTATCTACATATAGTAATTGTTTGCCAAATATATCAAATACGCAAATACAATTCATGTGCAGTGTTACCATAATAAAAAAGACGTTTATTCTCCTGCCGATTTATCCCACAAATATGAATATTGCATTTATCGATAGTCACTAGATTTAATTATTTCTTAAGCTTTGTCAAGTGTAATCGCAGCGCATTCTGCGCACACGCACACATAGGGATCAGCTTTAATAGTTAACAAAGTAAATAAATTGAAAACTGTCACAAAGTAATTTATATATAAAATTCGTGTTCAGTAGTTTAAAATTGTAAATATACTGAATATATTTGTATGTCTGTACATAATAAACTTCAATATTTATTAGTAATCTCTTTTTTATTGATCATTACCTTTACACTATGTTTGTTGTAGTGTGTTGTAGTTACCTTCAAAGCCGGAACACAATAATGCTGACATTACTGCTTGGCGGCAGAAATAGGTAAGGTGGCTGTACTATCCTGGACGAAATTTTGTATAATTTGCTATAGAATGTATTAAATGTTCTAAAAATATTAAAGAGCTTATATATAAAAAAGAGATTAAAGAGCTCTACTGCTACATAAATACAATAATTACGATAACGACCTATATGTCAACTATCAGTGCACTTGTACGGCCAGAATCTTTACAACCGGAATGGAGACGAAAGTATTAACAAATCTTAATAGCTCCACCTATGTTAAGCAGTGGAGATATGAGCAATTGGAAATTCTACCGGACCCAGTAGACCTAGGTGTCCGGAAAGAACTGTTTCCAAACAACACTTATAACAAGGCCAAAATAATATTGGTGTATGAAAATAAAAGTCTACTTTGGCAATAGAAAACATTTATTAATCAATTTTACACATATTACCTATTCCCAGGCTCTTATTTACCCTCATAACTGCCGCCAGGGTCACTTCAGTAGGAGAAAGAAATGAATTTTTAATTATTGGGATAAGATGGTTAGAACTTAACTCACCTTGAAAGCAGTTACAAGCGAAACGAGCTATCACTACCTTCTGACTGATCGGAAATTATTCTATTTAAAATAATCATCAGCCAGAAGACACCATAAATTCTCCCATCAACTGTGCAAGACAGTTTAGCAATTCAGGAAACAATAAGCTCTATTCATCTATTAACCTCTAACACTACTAGCTAGAAAGAGATGTAGGTATACAATAGAAAAGAATAAGAATATATCTGTCTTTTTCTTTCACACACTCTTAAGAGCTGAAAAAAGTATTTTAGTAAATGAAAAGTATTGCGTCCTTCTGTTCGTGTATTTTCTTAAATATTTTACACATTCATTCCTACTAGAAAATCCAGTGCCAAGAAAAACTTTAAAACGCTATAAAAATGTATTTATTTACTAATGAATACATTACATTTCAATACAGTGAAGGTTGAAGCGTTGAAATGAACAGTCTGACCACCATATAAAGGTGCCAGTGGTGAAAGATGGTACGTCGATGTAGAAGGTAAGCAATAGCAGTATGACGTTTCTGTTCACTATACACTACTAAGTGACACAATGAAAGTGCTGCAATATGAACGCTTCACCACTGTTAAACGCACATCCAAAGTGTACCAGTATTTCCAAGACTAAGTCATTATGCCAAAAACCAGCCCAAAAAGCAACTTTACAACAATGGAAATAAGGTGCTTCTTACAATTGTTTTACGGAATGTTACTTTTAAGTGCACCCAATGACGTAAGGCCGATTTTTGTCAAACGTCGAAACTAAACGAAGAGTTTAGGTGATAGTTGTCAGTAGTTGGGCGCTTTATGAATTGCCATACAAATTTTGGAATATTTTACATAAACTCATCACACATTTGAATGTAATATTTCTGGTTGGTACCGGATCACTCTAGCGAACGCATAAAACATTAATATGGCATATTGTACTGCGCACTAAGTGCGCCATAAATGTGCCATACGACCACACAGAGACATATCTGCGTCCCGATCTTGATTCAAATGGGAATCGATCCGATCGGAACATAATTCCTACTATATCTTTCTAATTTGTGAGTTAAATCAACTATTGTCCGGATTAGAAATGTTAAAGTCTCCGATCGGCCAGTTGTGAATTGCAATTATGCGCCTCGACTCGTAAAAGACGCAGTTCGGGAGATGCGATCAAAATCAAGCTGCGTGTCTCAAACTAGGGAATTTCCTGTACAATTACAACCAGAGCAACAAAACGGGCAAAAAGGGACAAAATACTACACAGAATTCCCAGACGAAATCAATTTAGAAAAGCTCCGTTTCATATTGTTTCTTCCAGGAGTCTGGAGAACCGAATCCGGAACGTAACCATACATAACGCCCATGGCTAACCTCTGGACCATAAAGGTTTTGAGTATAGTACATGAACACTAATCACGATATAGCCTACTGGTAAGTATGGAATAAAATTATAGCTATATGATCTATATGTTGATCAGTTGTGCATTCACCACACTTATTAAGGCGAAATTGGTTTTATACAACAAGTCAGAAATTGTTTTGTCCTGTATGTTATTTTTATTAAATATGATGGAGTTTTTTCTACAATATTTTTATTACACACACTCATACCATCGCACTAAAGGAAACCCTGTGTCGCAGGTGCCATGGACACATACATAGACAACCACAATATACACCCAAACTCACGGGAGAAATAAATGTAGGTCATACAAATATTTCTCCCGGCCCGGGAATCGAACCCGGAACCTCAGCGTATTAGACCAGCATGGTAACCGTTCGGCCACGGAGGCAGTATTGATCTATTTTTCGTGTAAGCACTCCACTAGTTTATTATTACCGATACAAAGATCGAAATTCATTCGAAACGACTGCCATTGACATGTTGAGGTTGACGTTGATTCACGTTGAGGCATTTTCGGTTCATGTTTCGCTTCTTTTTCCTTTTCTTTCGAAGTCGAGCAAATACAAGCTTTTTCTAACCGGCCTTTTACGTGCGGAGATGAGTGTGGTAACTTCCTAACAGATAAGCCTGTTGTTTTCTCAATAAGGACACAGTCGGGTCCCAATGATTGTCCGAGCATATATTAAGAAGAGTTTCAATTAAATTGACCAAGACAACGTTTACACTTATATAGTATAAACCAGGGTTGTTGCGAATATCAGCATTAACATCCGCATTGAGTGATGCTGATATTGACTGCAGATATTGGCGACGCGATATTAATTTACAATCCACCCAAAAACAGAGTGCAAGCCCAAAAAGCAGCTCTGCCGTCGTTCTTACATTTTTAATGTAAGCTGATTCCTCTGAGAGAAAGAGAGAGAGAGAGAGAGAGAGAGATCATAAATTCAAATTTATGCATATTCAGTCCTTTTAAAAACAAAATAAAAAAGCTTTTTCATATACATTCAATAAAGACATGCACATTTTTCACGATTTTTTTTAAATAGATAATTTCAGCATCCGGTCTAACAATCTGCTTATATTAAAGAAAAATCCGCATCGGCAACAACACTGGTATAAACTGCAGGATATTAAAGTAAGACTTATTTTTAATATAATTTATTATTGATTACTATACCGATATCAGGAAGTAATCCTAATTATGTCCAGAGCGTTTTTTTTTTAGTTATTAACATAAAATGAACGTAAATAAAAAATATTCTATATTGCACATTAAAAAATTCAACTCAAAACAGTGATGTAAGCGTGCGGCCTTACTGCACACAACATTAGGATGGAAAATTAGGGCACGCAATTGATGTGCAATCAAATGGTACCATCTAATCTTTTCATATACCTATTAATTTATTAACGGCAAAACAAAATTTGTAAATCAATAGCAAATTGTATTGAGTTTAGGAGACAGACACTGCGTCAACAACTAACTACTACCTACGGACTTTTACAACATAATAATATTATTATATTAAGTATACATCATAATAATATTTTTTAATCGTAATTATTTATTATTATGGGCTCGGTGCAAATATGATATCAGTGCCGACATCAATTTGTAACAGTATAAGTCTAATGTAACGTACCGGATGAGGCAGAAAATACACAGTACAATAATAATAGATTGTTTATTATAGATGTAAAAATAATCCATTTAACAATAAATGCTTAAAAGCTTAAGAAATTATACCTATTGGTTTTAACATCAAACTTAAACACACTGTTTTTCACTTCGACTGCGAACAAATAAACACATATTTAAATAAAATATATAAATTTAAGGGTTGCTTTCCCGCCATCGTAAATTTCTTTATTTTTTTAATCGTATTCGTATTTTTTTAATCATATTCCTACACAGAACACTGGAAAAAAAATAATAGGTATTTTATCAAGCAGGTATTATGAAATTGTTTTTATTCAGGTATTTTAACATAGACTGATTCATATTTTCCATGTTTTATTGGTATCTGAAGGTCATTGCCAATGCTAAATAAATAAAATAATAACAATTATTAAAGTTTGGAAGGGGAAGTGAAATAACTAAAGAATGTATTTTGCGTCGAAAATGAAAATCAAATTTTAATATTTAAAATGTATATTTTCTGCTTCAATTGTACAAAGAATCTTTGGATACAATAATATTCACGATAGTTGCATTAAAATACACGAAATACAATATAAAACACAGGCTTAAAATCATAAATATACATTATTACCGGTGAATAACGAATGACAAAATACCCACTACCTTTCTCATTAAAACTACGAATTATCATCACAATTTTACACAGTTCTTGCACTAAAACAATTTTGATTTCGAAAATAAAATAAAAGCAAAATTTTAAGATATCAAAGTCAGAATAATAATCATAACAAAAAAAAAACATAAAAATCTACATTTCTACTATTATGGCCGAAATAAATATTGCGCAAGACAAACCACGGAATTATGGTAATAATTAAATCAAATTGATCAAATTTCTCACATATTCATGTTTCTTTTCAACGTCTAACGAAATCTTCAAAGAAATTATCAATATTTTCATAGACATCTGTTTTTTTTAGAAAAAAATGGCGGGATTTTTATGGTCATAGTTTTTAAAACAGTTGACTTTCGAGTATGTTATGTTATGAAGCTTTTATAGCTTATATTCAAAAAAGAAATAATAACAAAAACCATAGCCATCTTTTAAAAGAGGGCACAACATTTGTTCAAGACTGACCCATTAAAAAAAAAAGATTAATAAAAAGAAAAGAAAAAGAATAAATGAAATAAATAAGCGAAAAGGATTTTTAGGCAAGTGGTAATAAATCCATCTCAAGTGCTGGATTTATATTAAAAAGTTGCCTAAATCCACTGTCTTTATGAATAAGATAACCCGAATTCACATCAACGATTACTCATTGATAACGCATATAATTTGAGAGTTGTCAAAAACCACCTTGACATCTCAGTTACGCTTTATACCGGATTTATTTTGATTGGTTTATTAACACGGGCCTTACAGATACATTAAAAGCTAAATATTGATAACACTATGAATATAAAAATATTGATAGTTCTTTGAAGACGTAGTAATATTAGTACACGTTTATCTACATAATCTAATGTTAATATAGAATTATACATTCTTTTTTCTCTAATCTTCCGGATTGTAGGTACCGCATCAAAGGAAAGTACTCTTGTTATAATTTGACATATTTGACAGCTGTCAAGTGGCGTTTAATTCTAGAAGAAATTCCGCTTGTAAAAGCAACAAATTCGACAGACGGAAACCAAACTCATAGTTGGGAAAGCTCTCTTCTAGAGTTTTTAATGGTTAATTACTAGGTAGCAAGCGCTCTATGATGACTGGAACAATCTAACTACGACTCGACCACGTACTTTGTTTTTAAGTGACGTCACATGATAGCTGTCAAATGTGACGTATCAAACCGAGAGTTTGAGCAATTACACTACCTACTTTGAAAAACTAAATGTGAAATGTTAGAAGATTGCATTTGCGCTAATACATTGTGAATTTGGCCGCGAGAATGGGCGATGCCATAAGTGATACGGATCGGGTTACCTGAAGGTTTGTGTTCATTCTTTTATATTGACTGTGGTTACTCACTACCCAGGATGATTGCCTGAAAAGACAGAAGATGATTAATAAGTAGTTAAAATGATGGGCGGTAATTGTATTCTGTGATTTTGGGTTGATTCTATATAAGTTATTTCTACGGCCTTTACGACCCTGCACTCTATTGCATTGACGATTGCAGTGTACCGAACGGACGAATTTGGGAAATAAACTTTTTATAAATTGGTTCTGGTTAACCAGAACACCGGGTAGTGTCTGGATTGAACCTCGTTGTTCTGGTCCTCATAACACTGGGGATTCCTTCCTTTGTTCGAGAACAGGCATACATTATACGATACATTATATTTATTCAAAAGTTAAACACAAAAAATAATTTAAGTTAGTTCATATATTTCTTAACTTGACCCATTTGTTTTTATAGATTTTTCTCGACCGATTTTTTTTTTTATTTACAAATATATTATACAATCTGAAATTTAATTACAAAAGTATTGTTTTATCAAACATGTTTATTGTCAAATTGAAACGATATAATAAGAGTAAAGTTAATATAATTAATTTAAGTATTAATTTATTTTTATCGCTATTGCGTTTTGTTTAATAAAGTGGTAAGCATTTGGAAGTCAGGTACCAATTTAGTACACAGACTTTGTTGTATTAACGAGAAATAATTTCCTTTGTTATGTTGACTCAAGACGGAGTTATCTCAACAAACTTAAAATGAAAAGTCTATTATTATTATTAAATTATACTGTCAATTGAACATAGAAAACATAACTCCTACGTTAATTTCAATTCTTCGCACAGTTTACTGCACTAACTAAAGGAGAAGAGTCTAGTAAAGATGTACCCGTAGACTTCTTGTCGTTTGAAAAGTTGTAGAATCAATTTTTACAATTTACAGTGTATATAAATATGCAAATATTTTTTTTATGTATACTAACCCTTGAGCCGTTTACATAGAGAGGTATCCCCTCGCGGCGGAGCGGCGGCGCGCGACGAGGTACGCCACCAGCACCACCACCACCAACCCTCCCAGCGCGCACCCCACAGCGATCGGCACCGCGTCCGGGACGTCACCACCGCCGCACTCACGCGCTATCGAACACACAAATGTCATCTTTCTACTTCACCTTAAACTTATTTTACAACAAAAACAACACTATTTCTTGTTTTGAGAAATATTTCAAGCAAAAATGGTTCCTTATATCATAATAATAATACAAGATACGCCTCGAACTTTTTAATTACACCCCGTGTTGTTGTAGAAATGAAAATTGTACATGTAGTACAATATGTACACGTACTAATGTACAATGTAAGTAACTGTACTTAAATAGAAAAATGTAATAAAACAAAACAGAAATAATGGAGACTATGGAGATTTTAATTACCATAAACATTCATCATTAAAAAAAATATTTTATATAAGGCGCTAGATAACGTTGAACCGGTTTTGGTTTGTTTGCAAAACACGCTATTAGGATGTTATCGATATTGTATTACCGTCAAAAAGTTTACAATACATGAATTCTCAACAAATTCCGCGACCTTATCACTCAAACCACGTTACAGGCTAACCAGAACGCAAAACTCCACACTCCACACCTAAGTATCGTTCTTGGCGAGAACGAAAAGTCCCTTGGTTCATACTCGTGTAGATCCTCCCCTATAGCACAATTAGCGTTATTGTCTAGTAGCCTGTCTAGTAATGGGGATTGAATTAGAGACGCAAACAAGGCCATCAGCGACAAATGTGCTTCAGTAAAAAAATATACGAGGCGTGTCCGTAAAATAAGTTCCACGAATTTTTTTCACATCAAAAAACTGGTTTATTTGCAAAGAATAGTACATTTTTGGAAAGTTCAGGCTTTCTTTTATTTTTCTACATAATCGCCGTTGCGTTGTATGCATTTCTGCATTCGAGGCACCCACTTTTTCAAACCAGAGTCATAGAACTCTGCCGCCTGTCCATCTTGCGCAGACCTTTGAATAGCCTAAATGTTCAGTCAAAATCTTGTCAATTGTGGTTTGGCTGACCTCCGGAATCTTTTCGCACAGTTCCCGAACTGTAGTCCGTCGATCTTCAAGCATTGCCGCTTCGACTTTGGCAATTGTTTCGTCGGAAACCGATGGCCGCCCTGCACGGGCTTCGTCGTGGACGTCTGTTCGGCCATTTTTAAAGTCCCTGACCCATCTGCGCACCATCCCAGAGCTCATACACTCTTCTCCATACACTTGACAAAGTTCTTCGTGAATTTCCTTCGCTGATTTCTTCTTAGCGGCCAGAAAACGAATAACAGACCGCAACTCGCAGCTGGCGGGAGACGCAAGAGGAAGCTCCATCGCTGACGGCTGCTGAGCCAAGACTAAACGTCGCAGCGAGGCTAGCAAGGTGAGGGATTGGAGTGGGGGAACCAAACAACCTGCCTCTGTTGCCTGGTCGCGCATACAAACGATCCTAGCGCCAGTGGTAGCCCGTGGAACTAATTTTACGGACACGCCTCGTACATGCATAAGTATACTATGAAACTTGACCATCAGAACGTCCTTTTCTTTTATTGGAACATTTTTCAGATCCTATACTAGTCCTTCGAGCCGGATTAACTATGTACATTGACGTAAATGGTGAGAAAATAAATATTTACCTAACAATGCTTACCTTATGTATTTATTTATTTATTTGACCCTGTTCGAAGCATCTAACCAAACAATGACAATGCACTGCACAAATTTGTGAACAAGCATGTTTTTGTTCGATGCGATATCGTAAGCAATGGGTCACGCCTCGTTCGCATCTGGCGAATATTATATTCCTATTACGGTTACAGCGACAGTAATAGCATAGTAGTAACAAGATTGACTTGCGAATACATGGGTATAAATTCTAATCCCGGTCCAGTTTGATACTTCTGTTCACAAGATGTTGACATATTCCAACGCACGTGGAGCGGATGAATGAAACAATGGAACAGGACGGCCACGAAAGACGCTTTCAGGTCAAATCGGAAAGGTTCTTAAAAAGGCTGGAGTGCGTAGTGAGAAGAATAAGAGAGCTTGTATGAAAATATTGATGAATATAAGTGAAAGAAAGGAGGTTTGTCAGGAACGTGTAAAGTGACAATCGTTTGTCGCTGTATTTATTATAACAAGGTTGTCTTTTAGAGGTCGACCCATACTAACCCGTAGCCATTAATAACTACAGTTCCTGAGATAACGTTATCGGCATGAGGGCAAGATGTTTAGCTCTCTCACACAATCTCATTAGCTGATCTTAATTAGAAAACATAATGGAACGAAATGAATAAATAAAAGGTACATCGAGCTGTGTAAACTAATCGCGATGACAGGAAGTGATTAGCATTTTCGAATGTTTACGTATTCTATACACTATCAATATTGCGTTGCGAAAGGAATTTCCGAAGACGTCCGAATTGCTTCGATCCGTTCTACGGCAGCAGAAGTTACAGTTTACGGACCCTCTCGTCGATCGGCGGTAACGATGACCGACGAGGTGACTCCCTTTAGAACTTCATAAGTCAAAAATGGAATCAAACAATTTTAATCTTCATACGAAATGAACACAAATACCGTGCTGTCTACCATCGCCGCCTAGATTAGATTATAGATTAAAATAGGAAGGAAGTGTGATACGATTTTAACGGTTACTAAGTATATAACAATAGTCAGAACACTGGACAGTGTAACACGTCAATGGCGAAGATTGCAAGGTCAACATTCACGTCACTTAATTTTAAACAAACTAAACCTGACTATTATAATCGAGAACGCGATTTCGCAACGCAACTTTTCGAAACAAACGCCTGACGGTTTTGTCCGACGAGGTACGCTACTAACGCCAAGTCCACTTGCTATAGTAAAATACTAAGTTAGCAACGGTTTCTTTCATTTGTATAGTTTCAATTACAGAAATTTATGGAATTAATTTATAGAACAAGTCAACTTGAAAGAGTTCGAGTTTTGAGACATTTTTTATAATACCAAAGAAGAGACGAACAAGTCGTGCCCCTGGTGGTAAGCGACACGCCCGTCTGTGTATACAGACATAACTAGGTGTAACGCTGTTAAACCGTGGTACCTGGTAAATGAAAACGCAGGCTGTGGCTTGTATGTTTCGTGTTGAGATGATGGATAAGAGAGAGAGCAAGTTTTATAATTTTACTTATATACTAGAGTAGACTAACGCCAACTAGCGAGCGGCCACAGAACTGGGTGGTTTGTCTAGTTTACTAGGCAACTGACGTCTAGCAGACGCTCACTAGTTGGCGATGCCAACAAACGTGTTTATTTTAATAATAGCACATGAGCTTGCACACATGGATTTAATAAGTCAGTCAGTAATTTAAACGCGGTGATATTTATTTGGGTCAACGTACCGCGAGTGTGACGTTTGGTGGTACAAAATTATTTGTTTTTGTTGAAAATTACACTAGCGCGCGAATTGTTCACGCGTGATACGGTTTGAGTTGGTTATTTCAATACAACATTACAGCACTAATTCGCATTCATTGATGCAGAATAGACTTTCCGTTAAAACCTTCTGGCACAGAGCGGGCTTTTTATGATAATCGATAGTATTAAATATTGGACGTACCGTCACGAGAATTTCTTAAACAAATGTCCAGCGCTTCAATTTGTTTCAATGTATTTGCCTCAGAACTTAATTCGCCTGATTTAAATTTATACTGAAATAAAATGGTACTTTCATCATTGGGAATAGCATCTAGATCATCATATTTTGACGTAACAGAAGTCTAATATACGTTACATGGAAGTCCGGTGGAATAACTTGAGTAGTGTATGTTGGACCTGTCATTTTCGTCGTAATGGTCGTGGTTCCAGATTTTGTAGATCTAAAATACACCAACGAGTTCGTAAAATACCTGTATAAAACATCCTGCTGGTTACTTTCCTTCTTTTTTCGTTTGTTATTGTTTAAATTGTTTTATTATTAAAGACGTCAGTTCGGACAACTAAACGTCAATGGAGGCAACTGTTGTAAGAATTTATCGCAATTTTAGAAGGAAATAAGTATCCAGCAGTTTCTAAAGTCAGTCTTTTTTCAGACGGAGTAAAATGGCAGTTCATTGCATAAAAGTATTGCCCGATTGCAAGCAGCTAGTGATTACAGCAAACCGGTTACCCGGTTAACCGAAAAAACTCGAATAACCGTCCATTTTGGAACCCGGTTTTCAGCTAAGGAAAAATCGAGTTTTTCGGGATATTCGGTTTTGTCTTTAAACTATTAAAACACAAATTCGTAACTCATAATATCATCGTATTCTACAGAACAGCGACAGCGTCATCGAGACGGAAACGGGTAACTTTTGGGGTAGCGAGGGGTGAATCTCGTCGGAATCGGTACTAGCCATCACTGAGAAGGTCGTTGTCGAGAAGATGGTTATTAGAAACACGTTTTATAGTTTTGCAGAATATAAAAGTGCCTGAGACCAGTTTATAGTTGACAGGTTAGCATTGCTTCGTTTTTTTGGCACAGGCTGTACGTTTGCTAGCTTCCAGTTACGCAGGACTATTGCTGGAATTCCATTCCCGCTAACTTTATTCACGTTTAGACCTCGCAGAGTTCCGAGTTCTTTTTAGCATGACGCAGACTTCTCTTCAGTTTCAGAGTATTCGGATACGCAGTTGTGCATGCGCTGTTTTTGTGCTTTACTAGAACTACAGTCAGTTCTAAAACATACGGTATGAGTGTGGTATGTAATACTCCATACCTAAACGCAAGACTTCGACTATAGAATCAGCACAGCTCGATGAGTTCCCTGAAATAAAGCAAGCCGACTAGGGATACGAAGCAAAGAAATATAGCATTTCGTCCCAATCTGCTAACCTGTTTCGCCACACCGTCTCATACCACCATCTGATCGGGTGGGGAGTATACGGATACAGCTTTCAAAAGACAATAGATAGAGTAATTAGTCGTATGAGACTTCACGTCTGGGATCCATGGAGCGCTACTTACAAACTGGGAAACGCATAGCGTCAACGCTAGTTCTCGCGCCTCTCTCCCAGCATAATTAGGTCACTTGGTATGGGCACAACCATTTTTTCATTCCTCAGAATAAATAGTTTCAACGCTGGGTACGGTATGGGTATGATAAGCGTCATCTGATTTCTCACTCACATGTTGGAACATCTTCAACAGAGAATTAGACTGCTTTTGATACTAATAGATCAACTGTAAAAATAAGAATAAAGAATACGATAACGTTTCTAATGACTATCCATTACAAACGTTCTTACAATTCAGTAATTTCAGAATATCAGCGAGGGTTATGTCATCAGCATAGTCTTCAGATGCTGTGTCATGGTCCTTTTTGACGTGCTTTTTTTGTTTATTTATTTTAATTGTTTTTTATTATTTTTTTTCCTTTTTCTATTGTTTTTTTTATTTATGAACGATTTATTTAATATTTTATATTTGTTTGTATGTTATATTGTATTGTCAAATAAAGACGATTTTATTTTATTTCTGGCAAAATTTAACCCTCTGGTTATTTTAATTTCAGTGAGACTCCACTGACATTATATTGCAATTATGACAATATTTGTTATTCTACTAAAGTCTAGTTGCAATGACAGTTGAGTCTCAATAGAAGGGCAGTGATAGCAGCCTTCTTCCATGCAATCACTAACGATCGATGTGACTTTACCAAAATTGCCATGGAAATTACTAAGCATATCTTTATTTTTACCCGACTGCGGGAGCGATATATTTTTCAAATGAATGTATGTCCCATTTCTTTTTCACGCTGTACTGCCTAAACGGCTTGATAATGTCATAGGCTATAAAAATAATCAAAATAGTGAGGGGGCAATCTTTTTTATCTTTCCTGCTAAATATTTTTACAGTCGGGTTTTTGTTTTTTAAAATAACATTTAGACTTGTTATCTCGTTTAAAAGCAATTTAGTCTTGAAATGAAATGTATTTTTATCTCAAATAATAATCAGACTACGCCATCGACGTGCTATTGAAGAGCAGAATACCAAAAAATTGCAATGGCAGTTGAATCGTAGCTCTATGGGTAGCCATTAACAAGCCACTATTCTTAACTACACTTGATCTTGACTCTAATCATGAGCTTCCGCGGCAGAGTGTCATGGTACCTTACTATTTAAAAATTCGAAAAAAGATTTGATTATAATTTTCTGACAGTCTTACTTTCGTCGGCGTCGTCCGCGCCTCCTTTTTGAGCCACGCCTTCTGTTACTACGCATTTTTAATTACATACCGATAAATCTAATTAAACTAGAACTTTCTTTTAAAATATTTTACAAGAATTTTTAGCACACGTTGTGTTTTAGTGGCAGTTAGTAGAAAACAAAAACGTCTTATACAACAGTTGTAAGTTGATTAAAAGTGTTAAATTTTAATCGACTGTACGATTGTTTAGTAATCATATGTACTATAACACCACAATCTTTTAGTACTAAAAATACTTAAACTGTTTCATATAAACCTCCAGGCTCTTATCGAATAATAAAAATGTAGAGCATGTTTGCCGTAGGTGGAAAACTATACATACATATTATTATGTCTTCTCATGTTGTACGCTGATCGGTTACAAAATACACCCCATTTTGCGCGGCGGGGTTTCGCTTTTACGCAATTCAAATTTCCCGCTAAAATTTTACATAGTTATACCATACCGCAAGACGTGACTTTGTCACAAGATTAAGCGATATTTTGACATCTATTTACTTACAAAAAAATTTGTGACTACTTGGTTTCTAATTTTTTATGTATTGGTATTTTGTCTGCGCTACTGTGGCGAGACGTGAAAATTTTCCTTGGTAAAGCCGAAGCTTTAACTTTTTGAAAAAAACAAAAAACACGTTATCAAAAATGTCTTTTCCCGTTAAAAAGGCGCTTGGCGACATTTTGTTGTTGTTGACAACACTTATTAGGACACAACATACTAGTTCACTTAATTTCACGGGATAACTTATTCTACACATAAAATAACCATAGCTTTTAAAGTAATCTTACATTATAAACTGCCCGTCGCGATACGAAACGAAAGTATGTAAACAAACACTTGAATGCTAAGTGTTGTTATTTTAATTACCGACGAATTACCATGACCTTTTACATACATTCGTTACGTATATCGTATCCCTTAGACCTATTAGAAAGAAACACCCAACTAAATACGTATGTAACACTGTTTATCGTTAAGATTTACAAAATAGAAATTAATCATATTTTGTATTACTTTGCTATTATAATAATTTTGTTACATTATTTTAAGAAAGTTTTAAATCTGGCAACGATTCTGACATTAAAACAAATTAAAGTATAACGTGTTGGAATAAGGTTTATATTTACGTGTACGCTATTCGACAATAACTCGAATTATTGCGGCTTCTCGGCCGTCATTTCTTTATATATATTTTGATGGGAGCGCGTACATTTCATGAATGAAATAGAACTCGCCGATCCGCCGGCTTACCTCGCGCTAATTGGTTGAGATGCATCGGGACAAGTTAATACGCGTTCAATAGTGAATATTTTGAATAAATGTTTTTAAGTGGTTGGGGTATGCGCGGTGCAACTGCTAATAGGAACGAGGGAAATTTTAGGCAAGTCGATGGGAATCGAGTTATATGGACGCCTCGCCACTGCTGTGCTATGACATATATGAGGAGAATCCAAAATGGCGGCCGTGTGACGCCATACAAGCGTGTTTTTTTCCTTATTAGTTAACTAGGTAAAAAATCAGCAAGGTCGAAGGTAAAAGGTAAACCACGTCTGAGAGATCGCAAATCGAATTCTGCGGAGTGCGAACCTAGGAACACACGGCTCTGACGCAATACAGACGGCACAGGAGATTTTACAAAAAAAAAACCTCAACAGAAATTACGAATCAGTAACACAAATTAGACAAGATACTAAAGTCCTGTTCGTGATTAACTACATAATGCACACACTGTAATAAAATTAAAAAAATTTAAAACTCCGTTGTATGGTTGGTACACTAAATAGCGAAAAGATTTGGTAATCTTCAAACAGCTGAATAGATATTCATCATATCGTCATTGCAAATTTAAAACCTCTTATGTGTCATTTTGGTCGACAAGAAGTTTTGTAAATATTTGGAAAGCGTATTCAAAGATACAGAAACGTTGTTGCTATACATTTAAATATCATTATTTATCCAAATAACAATATAGAACAAAAATACTCTAAAAACACTAGGAAAATTTTACAGAAAACTCTCTTTCATTTTTCTATGATAGTTACTTTTAACACATAGGAGATATTAAATTTGCAACGACGATATATAGTTAAAACATCCTGATCAAACCAGCCTTAAGAAACCGCTTCGAACTCCGTTTATCCGTTCAGAATTATAATCACCGTACAAGACATACGAGGCGCTACAGGAACGGGTTATGACTTACTATTGACTTTTCATCACACTTGCACATAAATAGTACGACTGAATACAGACTAACTTGACTCTAATACCCCAAATAAAACGCTTGGGTCTTTTTCTTCTCAATACGGACCATGGCTGTTTCTTTTACTTTCATAAGTTTTTAAATTAATCGTTCTAGATTTCTGCGGCAAAAGATAATCAATTACAACTTTTGCTCTTTGAACCAAGTCATATTCACTGCCACTTGACATTTTAAAAATAAATTTTGTTTATTTCTATCGTTTATCACGAACCAAAATTCAGAAGTTTTCGCGGTATTTTTTTTCCAAGAACAAACGCACTAGCGCGGGTAAATAATATGGCGCCACCGTCCATGCGGAAAACTGTTAGTTTGTGTTACTCGTAGCAAATAAAAAAAAATTAGGCACTTTCTCCTTCCTAGGGATAAATAAAGAATAGTGGAAAAAGTAACGAGTCTCACCAGCGCTGAACGAAGTGCCGTGCGCCGAACGGAAGGCCTCCTCCTGCAGCTGCGAGAGGGTGAGCGAGGCGGTGACGCTGTCGTGGGCGGCGCCCATGTTGAGGGACGCGGGCGCGGCGCAGCGGTACGAGGTCGCCAGCGGCGTCAGCCACTCCGCGCCGTGCCACGACTCCACAGTGGGCGTCAGCATCGCTGATCACGTGACAAGAGAAAACATTAGCCGTTGCGGGAGTGACATCGCCTAGAGTTATAATTAATAATAATAATAAATAACGCACACACTCAATATAGCCCCGCACTAGGGATACCCTGTGTCGCGGGTGCCATGGACACACACATAGACAACCACAAATTACATCCAAACTCACTAGAGAAATAATTGTAGGCCATACAACTATTTCTCCCGGCCCGGGAATCGAACCTGGGACCTCTGCGTGTCAGGTAACCGTAGGCCACGGAGGCAGTCAAATTTATATATGTCTGAAATAAATAAATTTATTTATTTCATTCTCAATCCATAATATTTGTTAGTAAAAGTACTTAAAAACTAATATTAGAATTGACTTTATAAAATGAAACAATTATGAAAAATAAATTTAAATTATAAAATCAAAATTCAAAACCACAAAATCATTAAATCAAAGTTAAAATACAATAAAAAAATATTATAACTTAACGTAACTTTTCAAATCAGTATAAGAACAATTACGAAATAAAATTAAAAGTATAAAAATTTTTAAATTGTATATTATAAATTGGTTCATAATAAATAAAATAATTTCGTTATGTTTATTTATATTCGTCGGAGACAGTAGTGAGTACGGACATTAAATAGAACGCAATCGCGCCACCTAGCGGTGAAGTCCGCACAACTACGGGTCCCGCGCTTCGACAGAGTCGTGACATTGTTGGCGGGCACGACTGGATCGTCATAAAGGGTAGTCGTCGTTACTACACTGTCGTACGTATCGCGTAGTGCCTATTTTGATCGTTAATATTAATTGTTATTTAATTTCATAGCAATTAAAATATACAGTCTTAATATTAACACGAGTTGCACTATCCCCAAATCGGCCCAAACGATGTCTGAAGATTCAGTTCTTTATATCAGATGTCAATTCAATTCTTTATATCATGGAAATATCTTCTTTATATCTTTTGGGGTAAGTGAAACGTTAAGTATTTATTTATATGAATTTAGCATAATGATTGTTAAAACATGTAAAGCTAATAAACACAGAGCAGTATACTTTAAAATTATTATAACGCGGACTGTTTTTCCTATAGCCCAAAACGTTTGACTCAAAATGAAGTAGTTCCTCTTGCCCCACCTGACCATTTTTAGGTCATTTTCGGGTTAGTGTTCACTGCCTTATTTCCGTGGCAATTTTTATTTCTTAAGTATTCGAGTATGGCATCGTGAAATATTATCTAATATTCGAAAATGATACCTTGAAATATTATTTAATATTTCATGATAATATACTTGAATACTTAAATCATAAAAATTATCACGGAAATTACGCACAGAATACTAACCCGAGAATGACCCATTTGTTACATATTTTATTTTCGTATAAAAGTATATAAGTTAATTTTATATACGTATAGATTGTTAGTATTCCACGTGTAGTGTATTTATAGGAACCACTTCCATAAGAATGTATTCTGTGGTTGCACCGCCCCTCCAACTCTTATTCTTCTGTGTTGTCATTGTAATTTTTGATCCACAATAAAAGATATTTCATTCGTTCATTGCAAGACCTAAATTTATATCCCAATGGCGCATCTGAGTCGTCTTTCGCAGCTGAAGACGTCCGAAGCGACTAGATGTAAACTTTACATCTAGTCTTTAAATCTGGCCGCTGGCTGAAAGCGACCGTGTCGCTCATTGATCGAATGGCTTAATTCCACGTGTCTGCGGCGGCCGCGCCCCACCGCGATACGCGTGGTGGGCACAGTCGCCAATTTGTGGGGAATTCCCCAAACCCTGCAGGGATTGGAATAATGCCGGATTTTTACATTTTATCATTAAATCGATACTTTGATGGTCGTTGATAAAAAGAACATAAATAATAACAATGAACGTACTGATATATTTTTTGCAACATCGCACATCATTCGTTTGTATAGAAACACCACACAAATATGCGATGTGCTCCCAAATTTATAAATAGTTATTTTGCGTATTGTATGCGTTGCCATTTGCAAGATGTGGCAAAATAATGACGGAATAAAAATAATATAACTGCTTTTATCGACTTTTTAGGTTTTCGCGATTGTTATACATAGGAAATGAAACTATTTTCCCATACTTATAAGTCCCATGGTCATAGTCAACCGTGACCATGGGACCTGTAAAGGGTCCGAAACGTTGGTTTGTTTGAAAAAACAAATATACGCGATTTAAATCCGGAAAAATAGTTAGATATCCTATAACTGTTAAAATTGTGTGTTATTAAAATTGTTTTTTTTTTCTCAAGACATTACGTGGGGAATTTTTGGTTAATAAGGACTTTGTAAGCGAAGGCGGCAGACGACCCGATGTAAATGTACCATAGAGTTACTTATATAAGGTTATCTAGATTCTAGATTATAATATGTACATTTATTATATAAGTATGTTCATGTTATATTATATTTATTTCATATCATTAAATTAACTAATACTACTCTTGGTTTTTTTTTTTGTTTAACACCTGTTTGTGTAACACCTATCTATTATATTTTTTGTTTGCCCCAAAGAGAAAGCGTTTTTGCATTACGTCCGTAAAAATTCAAATTGTTGTAAATTAGTTTATTCTTTTATACAACACATTGCTGTTCTGTTGTCATTTTAACAAAGGACATTCCATTCTATCTTGCAATCATTCAGTATGACAGCAAGTGTAGCTGCATCACAAAGTGATGAATCAATAATTTATGTTACATAAAACGACTTCCAAAAGTTGTTCCGTGTTATTTTCCAAGTATATACTCTGAGATTATACACTATAATAAATTCACAATTTTGAATTTTCCAATACGTAAGTGATTATACGGCTAATGACGTATAGAATAGAATCTTTATTGCATTAAAATGATTTTATATAACTTATTGATGCGTAGTAACGACAGAATATGGGATACTCACAAGCGTTGGGGAACATATGCGCACTGAGTGTAAGATTGACGGCGCTGAGGGCATAGTTGTGTGTAGTGTCGTTGCGTTGGAAGACGAGCGTCAGATTGTTGGTGGTGTTGGCGGGCGCGGGCCAGCTGATCGTCAGCCACTGGCTGTTGTTGCCTGAGCAGCTGCCGGTCGGCACCGTCGCGTTGTCCGGCACATTCAACAGCAGGTGATCGATAGTTGCTGGAATTTACGAAAGATTAAATTAATATAACAGACCCATTTACACGGAAAAATATACAAATGTAAACATTCTCGATTATCGCCTTTCCACGTGGACGACAATCGTCTTGCTATTGATTATTGAACGTCTCCGTGTAAACAGAACGATATCGTAGATACCAGTGATCTGGAATGGCAAATCTCGCACTCAAAACGGTCCAAACCGATAAATACGAAACTCGTATGAACTTGAGAAAAAGTCATACGAGAAACTCGTAAGCTAGATTCTTACTTACATTTCATTTAATTTACTATTTATGCCTTACTACAACTTATTTCGTTATGTAAACAGATGGAGTAGGCTATAAGTTGCTTGCGAATACCACATAATGATATAAGATTTTAGTTCTTCTCAGTACCACCTATGTACACATTATGATTAGATAATGTTACGGCGGTTATTACTAGCTCTAATAATGTACACCACGAAGCGTGCAATAAACCCTTTCTATGGTGAAATTACAGGCACAGTTAGGTAGCAGCAGACCTCCTTGTAAAATAGTTTGTCCAGGCAAGTACTGCCACCTTACCTATTTCTGCCACCAAGCAGTAGTATGAGCATTACCGCGTTCCGGTTTCTGATGAAATTACAAGCACATGGGACTTGTCAACTTACGTCTCAGGGTGACGGGCACAGTGGCAGTGCCCCTAAGACCTTTGCGATTTAAAGCTCTGAGTGGCACTGCAACTGTTATAGATAGGCGTGTCGCTTACCACCAGAAGCACAACTTGTTAGTCCCGTCGCTTGGTATCATAAAAAAACAATAATAACATGCATAAAGCGTCATTACCGTCAAATAAAGCAATTGTCGCAACAAACACGACTATGATGCGAAAAAGTTTGAGGTTACGTAATCCTGTGCCGGCGATCTAGTTAAGTTGAAATGCGTTTATGTAACCGTATTTTTACCGTATATATTTTTATCCTTACTTTCAAATCTCGTACCCAGTTCAAGTACGCTATAATTATATACAGTGTTTAATTTATTTTGATTTCAGCTTATTTTGAGTCTGAATATTCAACAATAGAACACGTTTATTTGCCAATTATACAGATCTTAAATAAAATAAGGTACATTATGTTACAGGTGTGCAAATATTAACGGAGTTTCGTATTTGAATTCTATAGAAGCAATGTGTTAAAAGCCTTTGTAGCAATTTCATTTAATGTGGCACAATTTAAAAGCACAATAATGTAACACTTAATCGACAAGAGACGAAGCTCAACATCAGCAGGCTTAGCATGAGCCCAGACACAAAAGTTGTTTGAGAAAATTGACAGTTCGAAGAAGTAATAACTTTTGTTTTCGGGCTCATGCTAAGGCTGCAGATGAACTCAGCCTGCCCTGCCCCTTGAAATTCCCGAGGAGACAGAAAACTGTTAATAACATTTATTGAGTTCTTAGGTTTTTCGCGATTGTTACACACAGGAAATGAAACTATTGTTTTGGATTCAAATCGCGTATATTTTTTTGTTTTTACCCTTTACAGGTCCTATGGCCATGCTTGAGTCAATCGTGACCAAGGGACCTGTAAAGGGCCCGAAACGTTGGTTTGTTTGAAAAAAACAAATATACCCGATTTAAACCTAACATTTATAGATTTTAAAATAACCCATAAAAATATGTATACTACATTGATTTACAATTATATGGACGTCGGGTCCGCGCTAAAAAGTGTCCGAACTTATAGGGCGTTAAAATCGTATACAGAGCGTCATTCACGCTTTAGTCTTCATTTGTTCGACTGACAGCGAAGCAAGCAAAATTAGACAGTACTGCGATGACATTACAATTTAAATTCAACGTTTTAGCTTTTTCATATTCCTTTACACGTCACTACGTTTAAATAGGTTGACTTGGGACATTTTTTTCGTGGTTTTTGTATTAGACCCGTCGTCCATTTATTTGTAAGTCAATGATATACTATGAAAAATATATTATGAATCATAAGACAAAAATTATGATATCAAAGAATCCAGTCATGAGGTCATTAAACCAATATTGTGGTAATACACAAAGATGCAATAGGAGGCGTTAATTTGAAATCCATTTGTGTAAACACTGCCACTGCAGCAAGAATGGATGATCCATGGCGGTGGTCGATGACTCAGAGTTTTACAGACTTGTATTTTATGATATCAGGTGACGGGGCCATGTGCTGTAAATGTAGTTTCACCAGCACTTCTATACCTTTCAAAACTGGAACGCAGTAATGCTTACATTACTGGTTGGCGACAGAACTCTCCTTTACGACCTCTTTTACTCTAGCCTTGAATAACCCCAGAATATATTTAATGTAGTTTATTGGGAAACAGAGTAGTACATTTAGTTTTTTTGCCACATACATTAAGAGGGAGCAGAGGAAAAATTCCTAATCTTCGATTTGGTTTTAGAGGGGTATATCCACTTTAAAGTTAAAAATAAAATATTGTATGAGTAACTACACGATATATTCAAGCTTAGACATTAATCAGAAACTTAAAACAATAAAGTTTCCTCAATAGATAAAAATCACGAAATTACTTCTAATTTTGACATTTTTTCGATTTATCCTCGAAATGCTACAGGTTATTAGGACAAAAATTAGATAATTAATTATATTTATGCATGATCGACAACTGTCACTACGGATTTTTTTTAATCCCTTTAGTTTTAGAGTTATTCCGCTAAAACGAATTTGGTACTTTTAATGCGCAAAATTCAACATCTCCTGTCGCATGTCACGCGAACTTCAGGCATATATTTGTTTCACAAATTTGGGCGGAGCCAATGTCAAATCTTTTTTGGCATGAGAGCTCTTAAGGAAAGGGGAATCAAAGCGCTCTGTACAAATGGGATGTTTTTTTTTTAATTTTATGTAGGCGGCTTTTGAAAGATTCCATGCTGTATTCCTGCGAGAAAACCCCGTCAGGGACTTCATTCCACAACCTAATTGTACGTGGGAGAAAGTTCCTCTGAAACCGTACAGTACGAGATCGACTCGGTTCCAGAGTGTGAGGAGGGACTCCCTGCCGGTGGCGAGCGGTGCGGTGGTAAAATGTTGCCGTTGGCATCATCATCAAACGCCAACACGGAGTACCACCGACATAAAGATGAAATAACGGTGAACATAAAGTAACAATGCTAGCGACTTGAAATTTGCCATAGTTGTTTAACGGCTATTTCTTGCACTGTACACTTTATTGCACAAAGATGTGATACTGCAAGTTTTCAAAGTATTGTTAGCCGAATTTCACCTCTGTAGACTTGCAGTGGTAACGACACGTAAAAATCCACTTTACTTAAGAGTGTTACGAATGATCTCTGCACGCAGGTTTTTGTCTCCAATGAATAAGAACGAATCTATACCATTTGCCTTGTTATTGATTTTACTTCGCGTGCGAACCGCCCGAGAAACATAATGCGATACACTATCATTAGATAGAGGATCCATCCATTTACAAACACAATTAATAAATATCTAGGTAAATGGAAGTGACGTAGCGTAACTATGTGAATACAACGAAGAGTAACAAAAATGTCATAACCATACCGTATCATCGATTTATTTTCGTTACGCCCCAAATTGTAACTTTTTTCAGTATTGTTGTGTCCCACTTTTGGGACCGTGATAGTTCACAAAAGTGGGGCACAACGATACATAATATCACGAAACATACCTACATATTAAACACATTTAATTTGGTTAAACTATTAACCAAATAAAATGTATTTAATTTGTTTCATTATGTCCCATTTAAAATCAGTTTCCATAATGTATGTATGTATGTGCTGTTGTTTAAGGCGATCATATAACTAGTTTCCTTGTAACATTTTCTGAGTCTATTTAGCACAATGATTGCAGTAACCATTTTAAGTGATGAATTTAAACAAGTTATGTCAACTTTGCATATCAAGTATGTATCTTGATATGCAAAGTTGATTAAAGTATTTTAGTGAAGTGATGAGTTTAGAGAATAATAAAATATGTATTTAATAAATATTTTGCATTAATTGTAAAGTTTTAAATTTAAGTGACATTTAGTCCCAACTGTGAGGTTATCAAAAATAGAAAGTGTACAGTAAGTAACACAATAATTATAGTGAGAAAAAATTGGTATTGTTTTGAAAGCTTGCAGTGATTTCAGTATTAAAGTAACTATCTTATATTTTTTTATAATAATGGCCAGTTTGGGACGCAACGATAGGTACTAGTACTCAAAATGGGGCTCAACGAAAGAAAGATTTTGGGACACAAAGCAAATAAGCCGTCCCATCTTCTAACAGTAACCAGCATTAGGCAAAATTTTGAAGGCCATGTGCACTGAAACCCATAAAATGTTCAGACCATATCGTCCGTATGATTGGATCGGTTCACACCCTGTAATTTGGAAACATGAAAACTTAGGCCCCAGGTAAATAAATCTTAATAGATAATCAACGGTGATGCTACTAACAGACAGCACCCTAGACTATACCAATCAAATGTCTGTTAGTTTGCCTGTATTGGGCGACAATCGTGACTATTTGTCGAAACGTATTGTTCAGCGCCCTTGAACGCGCGCGCACCCGTGCAACTCGCAACAGTAGCACCTTTTACTCTTGAGTAAAAGGTGCCATTTTTCACGACAATGCTAATTTTGCAATTCCGCAATTTAGTAGCAGTAGAGCTCCTTGTGAAAGAATTCGTCCAGGGAAGTACTGCCACCTTATCTATTTCTGCCGCCAAGCAGTAATGTTCGGTTTTGAAGGGTAAGGGTGCTGGTGAAATTACAGGCACATAGGACTTGTCAACTTATGTCTCAGGGTGACGAGCGCAGTCGTAGTGCCTCCTGAGATCTTTGCAATTCTAAGCTCTGAGTGGCATCATAAGGCGCACGACTTGTTCGGCCCGTCACTTGATGTTATAAAAAAAAAGTTTAAGATGTAACTTTTTCAACAATCACCATTCGAACCAAATAATACAGATTTATTTCTCTA